AATCTGTTGATACATTTCTATTCTAATAGTTAAAACACCAAATGTGCCTGAATACCCATAAAAAATAATTAAATTAAAGATTACGTAAATCATATGATACAGGTCTTTATGGACTCACAAGGCTTCATCCTTCCCTCAGTTTACTGCTTACGTTCTCCTCCTCAGTTCTGCATTGTATTGATCGTACTCAGCTGGTGATCTTATTACAGATCGCATCTATTTAAAATCTTCAGTTTCTTTGTCTCACTGCTGGATCCTACTGTTGCTCCTGCCCTGGTTCTTGTGTCTGTTACTTGTGTTCTGTAAGTCCTTCATGTAACTCTATCTCCATCATGCATTTGTTCCAAAACTATCAGATTCATCGATGTTTCTGTATCAAACTCAACTTCAGTCCTGTTTTTAATAAAAAGCCTTACTTCTTTCTGAAATAGTTTCAATCACAGGGACAAACATGACCTGTTTAAAACAAAAAGTTTACAAGATTTGTAGCAGTACATTCGGCATATGACTTCATAAGGACGAGACTGCATTTCATTTCTTTTGTAGAGTTTTTTCCCCCTTCCTCAGAATAGATTAAATTAAAACAAAAATTAGTCAGCTGTGTTACAAGACAGAGCAGACATTACTGCATAAAGCAGACTGAGCACAGAGCCTCCATGGTCACTATGGTCTGTGCTTGAGAGTGGAAGATTTTAGTGGCTGAAAGACGGGGAGAGACTGAACTGAAACTATAGCTGAGAGATTGTAGAGAAAAAGGTCAGTTGAGGGGAAGAATAAAGAACGAAACGATATGAGAAGAAAAGACAGACTACTGGAGAGGAAGGAGAAGAATATTCTGTTCTGTGGCCTTTCTGAAAGGTTAGCATCCTGGATAGATGGAGAATGGAGCTGAGTGGCAGGCGCTTCACAGGGCAGAAGACACACATGTCCGCTCCCGGTTCTAAACACTGGGCATCTTTTAAGTGGCATTTAAAGCAAAATACAATGTTAACTTCTGACATTAAATATTAGCTGACATTTCTCACACATGAAAACAAATGCGATATTCTTTAAAGATTGTGCATTCATGTAAATGTGTGTATATGGGGATTAGTGCCTCGGTGTGTCCTTCCACGTGTGTAAGTGCCACATCAAAACTGCAACAACAACAAACTCTGTTGCTTTTGTCCTCAATTTGCAGCCTTTAAGTATGTGTGGCATGCTGGGAAAGAGGAAACTCTGCTGTTTCATGCTTGTGCTGGAGAAGAAACATGAGTTTAAAATTGTATTTTCATACAGACTCATTCTTTATTTGTGGCATTTTAAATATTACATCAAATCTCACTGTCTGTTCTTGAGAATAGAAAACCAAACATGTTCTGTCGTTCACTCATTTCTTTGTTGAGGTCATGTTCTTGTCTTGAATGTGAAGGACTGTGTGATGTTCAGGGTTGTTACTGCAATATTTCAGTCAGGTTTGTTTGTACCAGAGTAGAACTTTGAACACAGTTCATTCACAGCAAATGGAGGCCTGGAAAACCTTACATGGATAAGTAGGACAAATTAAGCCACACAAAATATACTCACTGGCCACTTCATTAGGTACAACTTGCTAGTACCTACATCACTGTTCAGAACTGCCTTTATTCTTCATGTAATCAGAAACATTCCTTAGAGATTTCTTTCCTTATTTTTTGCATGATAACATTACACACATCTTGCAGATTTATTGACTGAACATCCACGATCAGTTCTGATGAATGTGATCTTTTGGATTGAAGTTTGTAGACTGTGGACTCGGAGGCCAAGATGCCTGCTTCTATCTGACAGCTGGAAGCAGGCATCAGATGATCAGTACTCTGTGATCGTAAAGGAATGGATATGTTGAGCAGCAACACTTTTGTGTTTAAATGATGATGTAGGTACTAAAGGCCTACCTCACCTCTAACCGGTCTGGTCTGCCCCAGAATGGTCCTGGTCCATCTGGCCAGATTCATTTTCCATTAGAAGATCCGGTGCTGTTCAACCTGGCTATTCTCAGATTTCTGTACCTTCTTCAGGGGTACAACTAGCAGCACTTAGCCAGGTACAACACTGAAGCAGTTGGGTTGGCAGCTGACTGCATTCACTGATTGGCTCGTAATTTACATCACTGAAAACTCCACACAACATGTCTCTTAGCTTAGCTTTGGACCAGCAGGTATCAGAGAGTTGCTCAGTATGGAGGAGTGTAATTGATCCCTTACTTGGTTTGTGAACCAAGTAAGGGATCAAGTAAGTGTTGAGTCTCAAGTCTTTATCCTCAAGTCTCAAGACAGGCAAAGTTGAGTCCAGTCCCAAGTCTGAAACTTGAAATTTTAAGTCCTTTCGAGTCTTGTAATTGTATGTTAAATGTAAATAATAGACCATGTGTTCTTTTTAAAATCCTTATTTCTATCATCCCGCCATTTGAAGAGTTACAACTGAATAAACAGTAGACTTAATGTACTGATTGAAGTAAACAGTCTATTTTTTGTCAATATAATTTCCTGACGTAGATGATTTGACTACACCATCCATCCTCTGATGGAAACAGTTCAGCATTATGATGGGGACACAGAGAAACTCTCTTCCCTGTCTTCCAGAACCTGCATTCTGATACAGTTCCCCACTCACCATCCTCCAGCAATCATGAGCTAACACACTGCACATTATTTGTGGGTGCTTTTGAAGGACCAGATTTATACAGCATGACAAAACATAGCATACAAGTGAAAATTAAGCAATATCATCAACATAGCCCAGAGTACACTTGATAATAACACAAAGTTAGCTAAAGTCAGCTATCTCACTGTAAAAGAAAAGTACCACCTACTGTTGTTTGTGAAACTTCAAATATCGAACAAAGTTGGAATCTGAGAACCTCTTCCTGTAGGTTTGGCATGTTGCATGCTGTTTTTTGTTGAATACTTCATAATTGAATTACCCAAAAGAAATTACAGTACTCCTAGAAACATGTCTCCGTCTCTTGTTTCACCTCTCAGTTTTAGCTGAATTTGTACAGCAGGTCTTGAGGAGGAGCAGCTCTTTTAGGGACTTTTTTAAAGTAGGAAATTAAAGTGAACACCAATAAGCAACTCATTTGTAGAATAAAAATTAAATTACAGATCAAATTAAATATGATTAAGACATTTTGCACTTTTTCTTTTCAATTTTCTAGGACTAGCAGAGAAGGCTCTGCTGACATCTATATGCTAAATGCCACAGCATCAGCGATGACTGTCTTTTAAACTGTATGACTTGGATCAAACCTTTCAGATTTCCTTCCACAAGTTTCTCACAGTTGTTTCCTTATGGCAGAACGGAACTGAATCATGTCAGGTCTACCTGCAACTTCTCCACAGGATTCAAATCAGAGTTTTTTGATGGTCACACCAAAACATTGAGTTTGTTGTTCTTGAGCCACTTTGTCACCAGTCTGGTTTTACTCTGTGGGTTATTGTGCATTTGGAAGAGTAATCTGTGCCCAAGTTTTTACATCCTGGCTGATGTTTTTAGATGTTGCTTCAATATTTCCACATAATGTTCTTTTGTCATGATGCCATCTGTTTTATAAATGTACCAGCTCCTCCTGCAGCCAAACAGCCCCGCAACATGATGCTGCCACCGTCATACCTTAAGTTAGGATGGTACAACCGTCACAGTTTTTCCTCCAAATGTAATCATTGTTATTGTGGTCAAACAGTTCAACTTTAATTCTGTCAGACCAGAAGACGTCTCAATAAATGAAGGTCTTTGTCTGTGTGGACATTTGCAAACTGCAATCTGGCTTTTTCTTTTGGAGTAATGGCTTCTTCCTTGTTGAGGGGCCTTTCAGTCCATGTGGACACAGGACATGTTCCACTGTGGATAAGGACACCTAAAATATATTTTCAGGATAAATTCGAAATCCCTAATTTACTTAGTTATTTATAAACTTTCAATTAAATATATTTTGACATCTGTGGTGAAGTTTTGGCTATCCACAAGAATAAGAATAATTCAAAAGTTAGAATACAGTATCTGGAGAGCAACATTTCTATATTTTTGAAGTCCAACACAATAACATTAATGGATGTTTTCAAATTCCAAATGTTCAAATAATATAAGCAGCAAGAACAAGTCAGATTTTAAAGCACATATATTTTTTAATTTCTTGAAGAAAGTACATTACAAGTTCAGGGGAGAGAAATTTTAAAAACCATGAAACAAGGACAACAATGTTCCCCAGTGTTTAAAAATAAAAAATCACTATTGCAGACTAAGAGGCTCAGCATCATTCAGGTCAAACTTTCTGTTGTTTGTATCATTGCCTATGAGGTTTCTAGAGTTGATAACAAGCCTCCTGTGTTCGTGAAAAGAATGAGAGAGTCAGCAGTTTTCTCGTGATGCAGCATCTGACCAATAGAAGTAGAACCGAAAAATATGAAGAAAACAAAACATTGCCTCCCACACCAGTGACAGTCAAAACAGAGACAAGCCAAGAACAGGACTGAAACAGACCAGACGAAAGCGAAGGGAAAGGAGGACAGGAAGTTTTTCAGATTGGTGGACAGAGCTGGAGGATGTTGTGATGTTGTCCTCACTAACCTGCACAGGCTGCTGTGGACTGCTCAGATGCAGGCTTCTTCAGACTGGGACATTTAAATATTCGGGGGTTTTGGAAGCTGTGGATGCGGGATATCTACTTTAACATTGTAACAGGAACATAATGCTTAAATTCAGAGTCACACATGGCTCCAGGTGTGCATATGTGTGCTTGTTGATAATAAGGTTTGCAGTAATACTATGATTTATGATGTCAGTAGGAAGCTAAGCTACTTTTATGTTGCAGAACTGGTTCTGATTTCAGTTTTAACTACCAGTTCTGTAGAAAGATTTAAACTGTTTCGTCATTAGCCTGACATGTTCTAACATTTAAATTTTGTATTTCTGTTTTCTTTCAGCCACAATGAAAGAAAAGTGACCTGCAAGCATCCAGTGTCAGGCATCCCATCCCAAGACAACTGCATCTTTGTTGTAAATGAACAGTAAGTCTCTCTGCACCATGACACACCCAGATAGTGTTTTGTGCCCCTCTGCTCTAGACTGAAATGTCCAATACAAACTAATGAACTGATTTATTTTGTGTATCACTGTTGGATCTGTGGAGTGAAGCTGTGCAGCAAAAATGCACCATGTGTTTTATTTAGGCTTAACTTCTCGTTTTCTGTGGATAATCATAAAACCATGCTTAACTCTATTCCAGTTACTGTTATTCTTAGTCACAGAATTGTTTGCAGTTTCTGTTTGTTAATTTAATTTTTAATTAATACAAATGCTTTTGACTTCAAGCCTATATGAGTTTGTAAGATTTACTTTGAATTCTTATCACAACATCACCTGTCATGTTCTGCCAAAAATTGCCAAAAGTAGCTAATACAAGTTAGCATAACATGAGCTTTGAAAACTTTAGAGAAAGCATAGTAGGTTGGTCAAAGCGAGTAAAAGAAAAATCAGACCAACCACACAGTGTTGAGAATAAATAATTCTGCGTTTTCCTTCTATCTCCGTTAGCTAGTTGCTAAGCTAAAGCTAGAGGAAAGGACATGTTAGGAAATGCAAATGAGAGCTATGGGTAGAGGAAAGGACACACTAGGGAAAGGCCTCTATGGGGCATAACTTAGCTAGAGGCTAACAAAAGAGATCACAACCCGTTCTTGGGGGCCATTTTGACTTGCTACCAATTAAAGGTGTCATGTGAAATGGACCAGCTGTATTTTGGTATTAATAAATGGAATTCATGAATTGAACTCACTGACTCTTCTATAACCTCATACATCAAGAACTCAGCATGGAGCACGGATAATTCTCCACAACAGTATCCAAAACAAGACAGATTGATTCTTAAGAAAGCGATATTTTAAGACAATCGAGCTGGAATAAAAGTCTGAAAAAGAATAAATTCTGAATGAAAATACAGAGCTACTCCAGCGTTCTGCCAACCCCAAATGCCACAATTCTCCTATATCCAAGACATTTTTGGAGGTGCAAATATAATTATTTCCATCAGTTTTGTCTTCATTTAATTGAAGAACATCTATTGATTAACAGGCTAAGTACCTTAAACCAGTGGTCCCCAACCCCCAGGTCCATGGACCTGTACCGGTCC